TCTGACCTGTAGGCTCTATGTGTAGATGTATAAAATAAATAAATATTAAAAAGAAACCCTAGTCTTCTCCCCTAATTGGGTGGTTCTGGTAGTATTAATAACCAATTTTGGGACTTTACTCACAACAAAGCCTCTCACTTAAGCTCACTTTAGTCACAAATAGAAGGTTCTGGAAGGATCTGGCCAAACAGCTCCATTCCCAAAGAAGGAAGCTCAGCAGATTTCTGTCTTGGAGGAGGACTTTCCTCTTCAAAAATATTAAATCTTCAGTGAAACAACTGAAAATCACAAGCCAAGTTCTTATTAACCAACTCAGGGTCCTTGGGAAAATAAACACACCCGAATTTCCCATCTTGGGGTCTGCCACCCTAGTCCCCAGCTTCTTAAAAAGGGTTTTTCCTTACCAATATTAAAGAAAAGCCAATATCATCATGTAGACTTTCAAAATCTCCTCATAGACCCCAACAGCATACTTATACCTTACCCATTTTCCTTCAAAGAACTCAGTTAAAAGTAATTAAGAAACCACCAGATGCCATCACCATGGCCCAGAATAGCACATATGCAGATCTGGCTAGCACTCTTCTACAGGCACAAAACTGAAGGGCATAGGGCAAAGAGACATAGGTGCCTGAAGCAGTGACACTGTTGAGCCAGCACTGGACAACTCTATTTTTAGGGATTTTTGGAGGGGGACAGGGGATAAAATTGATGGTCCCAATTGTGGCTATGCACTTTAATCAATTGTGAGTGTCTGTGTTAATCACAGATGCGGCCTAAGAGCTGAACTGGTCTATGGTATGGAGCTAGGAACTCAGAGGGCAGTTGACACTACGTTCATTCAGCAATAGAATAGTCATATGAGCTCCCCAGCCCTGAGTTCTTTGTGGAGAGGGACTTCAATACAATAGAAAAAAAAAAAGTGGCCAATTATTCCCGTAACAATCAGATCTCTTTGACACTCATGGCATAGGGACCATGGTGGAAGAGCAGGCAGGAAGACTGCAAGAGCCAGAGGCAAAGGAGAACCAAGCAAAACTGTCTACTGGACATGAGAGGCCCCCCTGCTCTCATGAACTCACAGTAGCTGTGGTTGTGTGCACAAGATTAAGCCAGTGAACATCCCAGCGTTGAGTGGGAAAGGGTTCCTGGGCCCCGCCCTTAACTGAAGAGCTATGGGCAGCTGACGGCTTCGGGGGGAAAGAGGATGATTTTTTTTTTTTAGGAGTATATATAGCTCCAGTAGGTTGACCATGTGGCTGTAGATGGCCTCACACCAAGAAGAATACAGACAGCGCAAACTGGACTTGATGGGACGTTGACTATCTTTAAAAAAAAAAAAAAAAAAAAAAAAAAAAAAAAAGACATGAAGCCGGCAGCAGGGAGGAGATGGCAAGTCTGGGAGGACTTGTGCAGGAGTTGCAGTCAATAGGATCAAAATCTGCCATACAAAAATTCTCAAAGAATTTGTGAGATATCTTTTAAAAAACTGCAAGGCTTCTTGTGTTACCAATATGAAGTTCTTATTAAAAACACTTACATTTTAATTATGTGTATGTGGGGTGTGTGTGTATGTAAGTCATGTGTTTAAGGAGGCAAGAGGTATCAGATCCCCCAGAGCTACAGTTACAGGCTCTTAGGAGGCCCATGGCTTCTGGGAACTAAACTGAGGTCCTCTGAAAAAGTGGTCGGAGCTCATAAGGGCTGGCAAATGTTCTCTCCAGCCCCAATGTTCTCATTTTCAATAAAAAGATGTTGGCTCTGGTTCATACAGAACTTTAGCAAAGAAACACGCGGGGCTACCCACTCACTTCCACCCTGGGGACAAAGAAAATATCATGTTTTCTATTCTCGGTGTGGACATTTTCATGTCAACCCCTGTTACAGGGGTCACTCACTCTACGTCCTCAGGAAACAACTAGTAGCAAGTCACCATCCTCCATTCTGCGTGGGACACAGTTGGCTATCGTCTGTTTCAGAGACGCTGACTCAATGCTACCTTAAGACTTGCTTAACCCAGAACCTAAGGAGTCCCAGGAAATCCACGGGCTTCTAGAACCGCACAGAAATTCTCATGCACATCACTCTCTTAGAATCCAGGGGATTTTTGTTCCAAAGAGACCTCCCTCCCCACACTGAAAACAAAATCCACAGATGTTCAGGGCCCTTGCCCCTTGGGGAAAATGGCTTCTGATTTGCATATGACTTTCTCTCATCCCCATAAACTTCAAATCATCTCCAGTGACTCACTTCATCTAGTATGCCGCCCACAAACCTCAACTCATGTGGACTCAGGAAAGCTTTTGGTTGTGACAATTCCAAGTTTGGGGGCTTTTCTTGGTTGTCACTGTTGTTCTTGTTTGTTTGTTTGTTTGTTTGTTTATTTGTTTTAACTTTCTTGAAAGTCTTTTGAAACAAAAAAGTTTGCTTTCTTTCTTTCTTCTTCTTCTCCACACATTTGAATCCATAACACAAAAATCATACAGTTGGCTGACTATGTATACTTACTGTGATTTTTATTAAGTGTGTATGTATGTGTTTCTCTGTGTTCACATGTGTGTGCTGACCAAAGGCTAGCATCCAATTGTCTTCCCTCAATCAATGATCCTCTCTTATTAATTAATTTATTTATTAATTATAACACCTGGCTCATCACTGAATATAGAGATCAGAGATTTACCTAGGCTGCTTTTAAGTGAGCTGGACGAATTCTCCCAGCTGTGCTTCCCAAGTGCTGAGATTACAGGCACATGCCACATTAAGCTTTGACATGGTCACTGGGAATCCAGACTAATCCTTTTGCTTGTTTGGCAAGACTATCAACTGAGCCATCTCCCCAGCCACATGTGTGGTGAGCCCTCATATTTGCTCTCTGGCATCCATGAAGCCTTTTTAGCGTTAACCTTTACCCTGAGATCTAGTCCTGATGCCTTGTCTACAGACAAGGTGACATTGGTGCTACTGTGTATCAAAGAGAGATGCTTATTTACACAACTTCTGGGGAAGAGGCTTTTTATATTTGGTTGATGATATCATTGAGGAAGCAGTACAGTCACCATCTTGTTACCAAAGATGACAGCAACTGATCATGTGTGCAATACATGGTGGCCAAGAGATGGCTGGGAATGGAACCTTTTTATAAGAGTTTAATCCAGAAGTTAGCATTGCTCATGTTAACAAGCAGCATGTGTGTAAGTGTGCCCACATTCAATCTCTCACATGTGTGCATAGCTAATTCTTGTTTAACAGTGACTGGCGATCTCTCAACCGTCCTATCTACCCACCCCAAACCCTGTCCATGTTGCCAAAACCACACACTATACACTGATTCTTATACCACTATAGAGGAATTCTGTCATCTTTCCAGGGTTTTTTCTACCAAAGTCTATACAATGCAGGAATATTTTTCACATGACAAAAAGAAGAGAGGCAAGGAGTTGGGGAGAAGGACAAACATTATTGAAAAAAAATGATTCCAATATAGAATCATGTCCTGTGTTTCATAAGGAGTGGCACAGGTTGAGAATTTGTTCAGACACACACACACACACACACACACACACACACACACGTTTTTGCTAAACCAATATCTATAGCGTAGATTAACAGGAACAATATCCATACTTTCTGATTTCAATTCTGACAGGACTAGCTGACATAATTATGAGGTAACTGCCGAGGTTTAGAACACTTGCCCCCTTCCTTTGACCTGGATCTATAAATGCCAAGAGAAAGTATTTTAGATTAAGTGAATAGATTAATAAACATCCTTGGAATATGTATCATTAAGGCTGATTTATTTCATATGGGCAACAGTAACTCAAAGAAATGCCACAATATCCCAAAAATATTGCGTGTTGCTGTCTCCGCCGTGCAACGTAGTGACACCAGGCAAGAATGACGCTATCCATATTCTTCCGCAGTACTAATTATTCACAACAGTCAACAGACACTAAACCACTTTGAGCTCATGTGGGCATCAGCACAGGAACCACTCATATTTATAACACTGACAAATGGCCTTTCATTTGCAAATTTATAGTAGAGCCATAATTTCTTGAAGGAACTGAGAGGTTCATTCAAAAAATTGCCACAACATTTATCTAGGCAAAGATGATGGATATGGCCTGTGAAATTAAATGCTTTTAAAAATTAAAATCATAAGGCCAAGGAAAAAGACGGGTTCCCTCCTGCACTGCTCACACTTTTAAGTAATAACTGCCAGGCTTAACCCAGTGTGTTAATGCTTATTAGGCACATGCAAGCATATTGTTGTTAAAGTCATACTGTGGAATACTACACATTTGCAACATAAATTATCTGCTTCATCTCCTGATTCTGATCTTCTATTTTAAGCTACACAATGTATACTACTGTATATAGAATATTCCTTAATTGCTTTTATTGGATTTAGTCTTCATCCTACTGTATACTGCAAGTTTGATGGTAAGCATACGCTACAACAGACTATCATAATATTATCACAATTCAAATAAAACATATACTTTCATTGAAAAAAATCAAAATGTAAACAGAAAATGTTCCCTGAGATGATCAATAAGAAGCAGGACCATCAGTCATGAAGGATAAAGGGAAGTGCTAGGTGACATCGCTACCCTGCCTTCCTTTACACACAGCTGCATAGCTGTAGGGACTCTTCAAGCACAATGCTGTGTGTGTGTGTGTGTGTGTGTGTGTGTGTGTGTGTGTGTGTGTATTATGACTCTGTATACATGTGTAGGTTTTTCCAAAAATATTTTTACTATTTTAGAGGTTAGTATAAAAAAGTTGATCCTAAATATAATCATTTAATGGCATTAAGTAAACGGCAATCATTCAGTGACTCACCTTTCTTTAACATTAACTACAGCAGTTCAAAATCCATCGTTCCAAATGCTAGCAAAGTACTTGAACAAAGTATTTCATATGTGAGGCTGAGTTTTTCCTTCTGCTTAACACCTACATGCTAGCAACAGTCATATGGGCAGCATGCTACATACCCTTATCGGCTTGCTAACTTCTTGTGGGCAGGGGCATCCTCCTTGTCATCATCTTTGGGTCAACAGCAGCCAGTACAGCACCTGGAACACAAAGACAGCCCATGAATGTGCTCGAATGCACTGACCAAGCCAACTGAAAGACACTGGCCAATGAGATAACCATCCTTCCCCTGTAAATCTGCCTTATTAAAGCAGCGCGCCTCGCAACTGGGTGACAACTTTACTGTGAACACTTAATCCTCAACAACAACGGCTTCTAAAGCTTCATTCTACTTTTATTACAGACTTGGTGTTTAATATTTTATTCTTAATAATTTCAGTATCTACACAGTATTTATATCACATCAGGCCGAACACACACATATCCAACTCACAACCACCTCAACGGCCCACACCAAACATCAGCTCCTCTTATGTTATCATCTGTCGAGCCCCAAATTAGTACCATCTAAATATGGATGATCTAAACCATCTAAACCATCTACTGGGACATGGTTGTGACGGCTATTTGTTATGATAAATCTTTCTGCCAAAAGCCGCCTGAGCCCTACAGCCATGTGGGTGGTCTCTGCCAGCCGCCGAGTTCTGCCTACCGCATGGATGGACAAAATAATACAGATACATGTTAGGTACAAAGCTGCTTGGCCAATGACTAGGATTCTCATCTGTTAGCTCAGTCTTAATTATCATGAATCTATATATTTTATAAGACTTATCTTATAGAGTATGCCTTCCACTGGCACCCTCTCTTGGCGATGGCTCACATGGCACCATTGGAGGAGGAAGGGGAAAAGGGAACATTTCCTGTTTATCCTTGCTTAAATATGAGTCTCCTTGCTATGTCACTTCCTGCTTGGATCACCACTTCTCTACTACATTTCCCAGAATCCTCTTTGACTCCTAATCCTGTCTAACTTGCTGTTTCATTGGCCAAACAGAACTTTATTCAACAATCAATAAGATAAACATATACAGTACATTCTCCATTAGCTATTCTTGGGTTTAACTAGACTACATCTGGAATTAATTAAAACCCAAACTGCTGAGTACAACTGTGAGGAATTTTTCTTTGTTTGATCAGTTGAGGTGAGAAGACCCAGCTGTAACCTAGGGTACACCTTCTGGGGACAGTCTATAGAAAGGACAGGGAAGAAGGAAGCTCTTGCTCTTTGCCTGCTTGCCCTCACTTTTGCTGGAAAGTTCATTCCTTCATTGGCATTAGAATCTACTCTTGTCAGAGTCTAGTATCTACCAAAGACCAGCTGAGACATCCAGCCTTATGGACTGAACAACTACTGGATTCACCGACTTTCTGCAAGCCAGTCTAATAAACCTCATAGATAGACAGACAAACAGACAGACAGACAGACAGACAGACAGACAGATGACAGATAGACAGATTCATTCTAGCAATTCAGTTTATCTAGAGAACCCTGACTAATACAATGGTTGACATTCCAGGGGACCATCAACTTTCAATAATTCCTAAGTTAGGGGTTGGGGCTCATGGACGCCTCCTTCAACCAGGAGGAATGTTGACTGGCTAGATTTTCTGCAGATCTTGTACAGGGCAACCAGAGCGGCTGTGAGTTCCTGAGTGCAGCAGCCCTGCTGTGTGTGGAAGAAGCTCTCTCTCCTGACCTCTGGCTCCTACAATTGTACCACACTGTCCTGTCTGTCCAGTTGTTTTTTGAGCCTTGGGGTAGCCACTGTAGCCGAGGACTCCACAAAAGTTTTCTCTCTGCACTTGGGCAAGTTGTAGATCTCTGTTTTAACAACCATCCACTGCAGAAAGAATTTTCTCAATGTGCGCTGAGAGGTGGTATAATCTGATCCCTGGCCCAGAGGGGCAGTCGTCCTTTGGTTTTTGAGGACACAATGCAGGTAAGCATTTGGAATTACGCCCTTTAGAATTGGGGGCTAATGTTAGGTAAATTACTTTGTCCTGACAAATGCGGCTATCTGCAAATACAGTATTTTTCCAATATTCTTGTTGAAAGGAAGTGGTGATTTAGCATGTACAGCATGCTTCTATGACTGGGGAATCTACCTCAAACAAACGGCTTCCTCCCTTGGTATTAGGGGGTGATGCTCTACAACCTTGAACATTATAGGGGTGTGTTTGGTTAGTTAGAGGCTTTGTCCAGCCTACAATCTACCAACATGATTTGTAATGGGGACTTTTGTTCATGTAACAACAGTTCTGTGAACCAGAGACTAAAGACCAGCCCCATGGACAGTAAATGATGAAGTCTCAGTTCAAACTCTGGGCACCAAAGGCTTGTTGGTGGGAGCTTCTCTATGCTGACAATGCTCTGTTCAGATTGTCACATGTTAGTGTCAAAAACATGTCTCCTGTAAGGGGACCCTTGTGCTTACTGCTTCCACAGACTCTGCCTTATATCTTCTCTGGGCTGCTTCTAATCTGTATCCTTCCTCTGTAGTCAACTATGAGTCTAAGGTTGTTAGCAAGTTGTCAAACCCAAAAATGGTTGTGGAAACCCCTATAGTCACAATTGGTGTCAGATGTGAGACTCATCCTGCTCACTCTCACTTTGACAATGACTGTCCAGGAAGTTGGTTAAGCTCACCCATCTCCCTGTTGTAAATCTACAAAGTCTAAAACGACTTTGAAAGGTAACTTACTTTACCACTTTACTTCAAGTTAGCTTTACGTTCTCATGGTTTCAATCCTTGAGCCAGATACTGTTTACATAGAGATGATAATCTATTGTTTATCTTATCCTCTGCAAACAGCAAGCATCCCCAATTCTCCAGTAATAGATTCAGAAAGAAAAAAAATAATTGCAGTTTGTGCTGCTGTTTGGTAATGTAAGTGTTAAGTGACATTTAGCACTGAATGGGTCATACAGAACTCAAATCTCAAAAGATCTACATTGGATTGGACAAGGCAGGATATTAAAAAGTAACTTCCTTAAAAATCCAATAGTTTTCTAATAAAATATTATTTAAAACTTTTGCTTTTCCTAAGTGCTGAGGCTATTCCATGTAACTTGTTTCTTGTACATTTGGGATTTTTTTTTATTAATTACTAAGATCATTTTAGTAGGTAGAATTATAAGATGGCCCCAAGATCTCCCCATCTCATAAATGCATTCTTCATGTCGATGTTTTAGATATGAATGTGGGGGGGGGACTTATTGGGTAACACAGTTGGCTCTCATGCAGCCTATGTGGGGAAGCTTAGGCCAGTCTTTAGGTTCAGGGCTGGAGTATAAGAAGGGTTTGCTCCAACACTGCTACGTTCAGCATGGAGACAGAAGGTCTATAGGCAATGGGTGATCTGGCAAGCAAGGAATGGGACCCTCAGGCCTACATCCATTCAGAACTAAATTTTGCTAACAAGCAGAGTTGGAAGTACAATTTTTAGAGAGTCTACAAATAAGAACACAGCCTGGTGATACCCTGAATGGAAAGGCCCTGTCTCATCCTGCACAACAGTGAGCTAGCGCCTACTCTATCAACTCAGCCACTGAGTTGTGACCATTTGTTACAGAAGAACACAGGAAAATGCAAATCTTACTGACCTCTGTCCAGGTTTTCCCATGGGAAACAAGAAGGCCCTGGGAACCATGCTGAAGAAACTTACTGACCTCTGTCCAGGTTTTCCCATGGGAAACAAGAAGGCCCTGGGGGCCATGCTGAACTAGTCATGTAGACACCAAACCCCACAGGACTGGTCAACTCAGGGACCCCTTCAAATGAAAAAAAAAAAAAATACCTAACCGAGTATTAGTCCTTGAACGGCTGAACAATTGCCAAGTTCAACACTCCTCCCAGGCTGTGTGGAGGAGACAGCCAGTTACTTCACAATGTTCTTCTGCATTTCTAAAGGGATACAACTAGGCAGCAGCTATCCGAGGTAAATGTCCATGGTGCATTCCACACGAGCCACGAAGCTCCTAAAGTACTAGGAGTGGGGTTGAGATCGCTCAGGAGGACTCAGTGTGGGGCCCCAGCAGGATGTGTAATGCCGCTTGGCTCAGTCCCTGCACCGCTATGTCCTTTTTTTATAAAACATGGGGTGCCCATGTTCAAATGTGACCAACACGGCTTCACATCACTGTCATTTGCTGGCTGAGGCACTAATGACTCAAGTGTGGACGACATATATGCTAAATTCTATCTATTCCAAGTGACAAGGAGATGGTAATGCACACAGGCTGCTGCTCATCACTTAATATCTCTGTTTTAAAACATACTTCCTGGCTCCTGGGAGTTTGACTGTGCTCCAGTGAGTATGTGGGCAGCACAGATTGGACTTTTTTGTTTGTTCGATTGCTTTTTCTTTTCTTCTCCACTTTTTGTGGGGGTGGAACTGGGTGGGCTGGGACGTGAGTGTGACTGAGGTGTGTGATGTGAAATCCCCAAATAATCAATAAAAATATTACATCAGAAATGTATAATAGACTTCCCAACAACGAAGGAAGGAAAATGATGCTGGGTGGGTGTTATGGCACACACCTTTAATCTTGGCACTTGAGGGAGGCAGAGGCTGGCAGATCTCAGATTTTGTGGCCAGTTTGGTCGCCAGAGTGAGCTCCAGAACAGCCAGAGCCACACAGAGAAACCCTCTCTTGAGATACTAAAAGTAAGTAAATAAATATATATATTTTATATATATAATAACATATTATATGTAATATAATAATATTAATATGTCATATAATTCTAAAAATAAACATCTATTAAGTGTATAAATATTAAATATATAAATATAAAGAAATATAATTTTATAGATATTATTTTATAATTAACATAATGATATTTAATTTCTGTGTTATATGATACATTATATGTAACATGTATGATAAAAATATAATAAATAACAAATATATGACATGTATTATGTATGTTTAACTATATATGTATATGTCTCATTCTATTTGCCTGGAATACTGTAATATCACAACCAAACCCTTACTCAGGAAACCTTCTCAGACAGAGTTTGATGTCCCCCCTCTACTCCTACTGTAGCTAACGCTATGGAATTTATCAAGTTGCATTTAAGATACACAGGATTGATGTCTGCATCTTCCATAAACACTGCATAGGAAGAA